AGAACCTCATCTATGACTTCTTTACCAAATTTGTTCTCTTTTGTGCCTGCTTCTTTCCCATAAACTCCGGACTCCTGAAGGGGCAGGGTAGGGGGGATTGTTCTTAATCATCACACTTCTTACCACAGGGCTTGGGCCCTCCCTACGGTGAGTGCCTAATATTTTGTGAATGAATGAATAAATCGAAACACAAAAAGAACTTTCAGATATAACATTTCTATAAAGTTTTATAGTTTGAAAACACTTTTATATGTCAATGCTTAACTTTCTACTTTCAAGCACTCTGAAAGATACCAAGTGCTGTATTAACATGTGTCAAATGAATAATGAACAAAGAAACTACTGAGCAACTTAGAGGATCATAACAATAAAATAATATAATACCTCCATATGTGCTTAATAATAACCATTCTCACTTTAAAGTTTTATGCAGTCAGTTTCATGTGCAATTAACTCTTAACCTTTACTGACATTTAAACCTATAAACATTTATGCAATGTAACATGTTTTAAAATTTGTCAGGGAATCTGAATGAATAGTATGAGCAAATATAAACTTGCCGTGTTAGATATTGATTTCATCATTCCTGACACGGGAAAATAAAATCAATGTTTAATATGGCAGCCGATGACAGATTTGGGGGGTTAAATGAGCTTCCTGTGTGTATTCGTTCAGATGATAAGTGAAACAAAAGGGATCCACTGTGAATTACGTGTGTGGTGAAGCTGATTAAACCTGCCTGTGTAGTCACAGTGTGACTGAAATATCACTGGATCCGTGATGAGTTGTTCCTGCGGAAGCTGTGTGCCTTGCGGGAGAAACAGGCAGGCAGATCTTCCTCAGTTCAGTGATTTTACTGCATATATACAATTTCAGCCAAGCGCAACAGAAAATAGTTAGAATAAGAGCAGCACCAGAAAGACAGCCAAGCTGTAAATGACAGAACGGCTGTTCCAGGGAGCCCTGCCTGATGCAAGGAACAGGGCAGCCTGATGAGCATTAAGAAAGGAGCAATGGACGTCAGTCATTCCATTACGCTGTTAAAGCCAGAGTAAGGAAGAACACATCTCTGCTGGTTTTGTAAGCAGGCAAGGAAGGAAAACTACAAACAAATACTCAAGAAGAGGAAAATGTAAAGGCACTCGTTCCACATCTGACCCACGTATAACATGCTAGATTAGAAGAGGAATTTAAGAGCAGTCGGGGGAGGAACTACTACAGAGATAGAAAATTTCATAGTGCAGCTGTTTGTGCTGGTCTACTTCCTTTCTCCATTCAGCAGTTATTAATAAGGATCTTGCTGAGATATGTAAAGAATGCAAAGGGAGCAGGTCACATCTGTGTTCAGGTAACCTTGTTCAGTTAAAAATGCCCTTTGCCATGATCAGGTTGACTATAGTTGCAGATTATGATGAGGAGCGTCTGGTTTTTGCACGAACACGTTTCCCAACAGAGTCAGAGAATTTTATATTACACTGCATTTCATTACTATTATGTTATCACAAAAATATTTACTTTGGGAGGCATTTAGCATATCTTAGGCCATAGGAATGTTGTTTAAGAAATGATTTCTTCAAATGCTGAGCATGAGTATCTATTTCAGCAGAAGGTAAGGGTTAGGGATGTTTTATTTATTTATACTGTATGTTCAGATTTAGCAATTATTTCCTAAGGTAATCTGGTATTCTCCCAGGTCATTTTAGAAATCTCTTTTAGGCTTGTCCTTTAAAACTGAATTATACTTCCTCAGCAGGCAGATAAGATATTAATACTAGGTCTTACTTATTTCTAAAGTTTTTTCAGCTTTGATTCTAACATAAGCATGAAAAGAAACATGGATCCAGAAGCTCATAGGCTAAAATATCTACCAAAAAGGATTAGGGGGGCAGTTGCTTTTTGTGGGACTCTGTATTTGCAGGTTTTCAGAGCAACTAGCTGCAAGCAGGTTAATATAATCACTTCACACGTCGAACATGAGAACTGGGGGAGTTGGGGGAAGCATTAGCAAGTTTAAGTATGGTGCATTTTGGGTAGCTTATGCTATTTTAAATAATTCTCCGAAATGTTATTCTAAGCTTAATAATGACAAGCAACCTCTGTCTTGACAATATTTGCTGAATTATTTGGCATTTGGAACAAATGCTTCATTTTACATTACATTTCACTTGCTTAATTCAATTCAATAAACATTTTAAAGCTTCTACTTAATACTCTTTTCAACTGAGAAATGTGTATCCCAAGGGCCATGTGCTAGAGAGTCTAACTGGGTAAAGCGTAAACTGTGGGGTGGTTTCTGGAGTCTAAATTTTACACAGGATTCTATTTAAACATTTTTATATTAAAACTAGCAATTCTACATGATAGATCTGAATGTGAAATTCACATGAATTTTTAAGAGAAATCACAGCTTCAAAGAAATTCCATCTTAAAGCAATCTGATGGCATATACCCTTCTGCTATAAGTGGTACCTAGGGGGAAAAATGTGAAAACATTCTAGGCAGGACAAGTTATTAGGCACGTAGCAGTGGGAAGTACATGGAGTCTAAGCTTGGTCCTTTTACTCAGAGCTTATCATTAGAAAGTAGAAAATGTGTTCACAATGAATACAGAAAATGTAGAAAGACATGAAAGAAAGATCAATTCTAATGAATAAAAGTGCCGTGTGAGTGTTAATTTTTGGAAAGGGCCTAGAAATCCAAGTAGAATTCAACAGGTGGGATGTGTGAAAGAACTTTCCAGGTGAAGGGATCAGCCTATGCAAAGGCACAGAGGCATGAACTGGCATGGCGGATTTATGAACAAGAAATCATGTCATGTGGCTAGAAGATAGATAAAGGGCAGGAGGAAGAAGATGTATCAGAAGTTGTGCTTATGTATGTTTTTTTCTGTGTTACTTCAGATAAGTCAATGTCCAGCCTTTAAAGGAATCTTCCCGTGAATAATTAACTTTATAAAGTGAATTTCCCCATTCATCTGCAAAAAGTATTGGATTTTAAATTCCTTTAAAATGTATATGTTATAACTACATATAATTACCTTTTATAATAGATTGGGGGAGCATTTTTTTCCTCATTTACTCCACAGATTGTGTTTATTTTCACATACGTGTCTACCACTGGCTGTGAACAACTAGAAAAGATTGCCTGCCTGCTCCAAAAATAAGACAGAAAACCTTCTCTGAAAAAAGGTACCAAGACCAGTTTTATCCAAATAGTCATGCTTCTCTGAGCCTCAGGGGAAGTCCAAGGCCTGTCCCAGATGTTGGGATGATCTGACAGAGAAGCTTCTCCCCTGGGTGAGGCCCTCTGTATTCCTTTTACCAACACCTCCCAGCAGAGGCCTGAACTTGAGTGCACCAGAAAACTGGTTATCGTGATGCCACCAATAATAGATAAGAATTCCCAATATTCTCACAAACTTGGAATAAAGCAAATAAATCTCATTGACTCAATACCAGTACTTCCTCCCCAACAGTTGGAGGATTTCCATAGAGGTCTATCCTTATTTCCACTTCCCCACACCCAGAAATGAGTCTTGGTTTCCTATGAATGCTATTAAAAAATTGTAAATTCTGAAAAATCTGGAATCAGGACCACATTTAAAACTCTTCATTGGAGTGAAAACAGCTGTGGAGATGGGAAATTATGTCAGTGTCAAGAAGAATATTAACACTGACCCACATTAAGGTCATATAATGACAGATAGAAAAATAAATTGGGGCCTTGTCAGAAGAATTTCGTGGTGCATGAGACAGGTCGAGAGGGATGAGGTAAAAAAAACTGAGCAGGTCAGTATAAGGGCAATGTATAATGTGGAGATTCCTTGGTATGGTCACCACAGCTAAGGTCCGTGCAGCAACTTGCCGGGGTCAGGAACTGAATTTTGCCCATGCTCCCAGAGTACTCAGGATTGAGTGATACAAAAGACAAAAAGTAAAGTAAAAACTTCTTGTGTATTAGGCACAATGTCAATTCATTAATCCTGGGCTTACTGGTCAGGTCACATATTTCTGCTACCCAGAGCACCCCCTTCTCACACCAGGATCCCAGGAATACATTAGAACCTGCACAGGGCAAGCTTGGAATTAGATAAATGAATGTTTCACTGCAGTCCCACAAAAATGCCCTTTGCTGCACAAGAAGCAGCAACATATGGAGCACCTGGGTGACTCAGTAGATTGAGCATCCGACTTCTGCTCAGGTCATGATCTCACAGTTCCTGAGTTCACATGGAGCTTGCTGCTGTCAGCGTAGAGCCCACTTTGGATCCTCTGTCCCCCTTTCTCTGCCCCTCCCCTGCTTGTGCTCTCTCATGAATAAATAAACATTAAAAAAAAAAAAAAGCAGCAGCATAGTGTTGAGTGTGTGGATTTGGGGTCAATCAGATCTGGGTTTGAGCTCAGCCTGGTCATTTAGCATCAATAACCTCTGATGGTCTCTCTTACAGCCTCAGTTTCTTTATCTATAAAATGTTATGTAGATAAGAGAAATAGCTAACTCTTTTTTTTTTTTTTCTTACTCCAAAGGGTTTATGGAGACAAGTTTCACATCCAAGTCCAGGGCAGAGGGGATGGGGTTTATGAACAGTAACGTGAAAGAGAGCCAAAGAGCTCAGGGTGACTCACCACCTGGTTCATCTGGGTTAAGCTGCTGCTTCTTCTGGACTCCAGTATGAGGATACTGTCAACCTCCAGGTCATAAAGGTGGAGTTTTGGTGTTCCACATACTGTTAAAGACATCTTTGCTGTCAGAGAGATCACAGCTGAGGTCATTGTCATTGGTGACGATCTGGCAAGTCCCCCAGGCTACCGCCCTGACCCCGATTCTATCCATGATGAAAACGTCTTCATGTGGCTGGGGGATGGGGTGTGCCAAGAGGTGAACCAGTCACTTTGGGGGAAGCTCATCCACATCCCAAAGGTTGGCCAAAATTCCCTGGAGCTGGACTCGCTGGCCCTCCAACTCATGGTGGGTCCCTCTCCAGTGTATTTTTAAGGGTCTGGAGCGCCCTCCCCATCCTCTCCTGAGCCCAGAAAATTGAGCTCATGGATGGCATCCGGGGAGTCGTCCTTCCTACTCGTCCTCATCAGGCTTTTGGGGACAGCTTCATGCACTGCTTCTGCTGCTGCACACTGTCCAGCTCATGGTTCTCACGGTCGTCCATGTCCTCACAATTCTACAGAAAGGGAATCCGCTCTAGCACCCAGCCACCAAAGCACTCTGCCATCTTTGACTGCCACATTCCTTTTGGTCTATTCCTGCATCTTTCACCAGCAGCAACTTGCCGCCGTGGAGCCCTCCAGGGGCCAGCATGGCCCTGTGGCCCCCATTCGCTGGACTCTGCGGCCCCGCTGAGCTCCAACCAGTGGCCCAGTAGGGGCTGCACGCGCCTGGACCACACGCTCATGATGGTGCCTGTGTGGAGTGCACCTCTTCCAGATACCTGTCGGAGAAGCTGCTGCCCGTCCTGCCACACCAGTGGGCTGTTCTCCAGTGCGACCAATTCCACGGGGCCATTGGACACTTGTGACAGTTCTGGTTTCTTCTCCCCGTGGTTCAGGTCTGTACTAAACTCTGTCCTATTTGGCCCTTTCCTGCTTCAGCGCACATTTTAACATCTTGACCCACAGCACTGGGTCTATCTGGACATTCCTTTGCCCTTTCCCTTCTTCCAGGGAGCAAGGTCACCTGAGCCTGCAAGGGGGCGCTTTCCGCGTGGGAGCGGGCTTTCCTCGCTCAGACTCTTGGCTGGATAAAGGGTGGATCCAGCGCGAGCACCAGGTCTCCGGGCTTCCGGGCTGCCTCCGCTTCCGCCTCTTCCTCCACCTCCCTTACCCGCTGGGCCCCGGGACAGGGGCGGGAGGCCAGAGCCACTCGGTCAGACCAGCCCCCGCCAGAGCCAAGAGAATGGCGGGAGCTGGCGGCCGCCACGTGGGGACCAATCCCTGCTGTGTCACGGAGGCTTGGACGGCCCGCGCGCCTGCTGTCGGCATTAGCTATCCGTTAATGAGCAGCCACATGGCCCAGGCTGTGTGCCCAGTGCTCTACGGACCTCTCTCAACTGACAACAAATCCTCCTAGGTGAGTGCTGTTTTTGTTCCAATGCTGCAGATGAGGAAACGGAGGCACTGTTGCCCCTACAGAAATCGTGAAGGCTCATCTTCACCCTGATATCTTGTAGCCATCCCGTTTCACGGTGAAGAGCTTTACTCCTCCGGGTTTCTCTTGGCTTGCAGAGAAGTGAGTAAACTGTCCTCTGGATCCATTGACCCTTGAGGGGCAGTGGGGTGTGGAAGGGAGAAAGCGACTCTGGTTCTGTGACACGGAGCAAGGAGGCTGGGTGGTGTATTCCAATTTAGCTTGGGGCTCCTGGTCTCCTAAACTATGTAAACTGAAACACATCACACTGTGAGATGTAATTTACTCCTGCCCCACTCTCCAGACCTCCATCTGGCTCATGAGAGTGATTCATATTCCTTGTATTTAAATATTTCACCCTTCTTATGTGCCAACTAGTACTCCTGACTTCAGTTTATTGCGTGCCTTCACACTTTCCCTTGTCTGTGCATTCTTAAGCATTCTCTCAATGACTAGCAGTGAAGGAATCATGCCCAAATCATGGCCCCCTTATCCTTTTCTTTCTCTTATGGCTACAGAAGAGGCTTGGATACAATTGTATTTTATCCATTTTACCCTATTATAGGAATTCTTCATCTAGTGGCCAGAATATTAATATTTGCATAAAAACATGTTTTTCTTCTATGGGCAGTGTGGGAAAACACTATTATGTTCCTTAGTAATGTGCATCCCGACACAGATAAGAAGAAACCTGGCTAAGGTATTCAATGAAGAGATCTTCTAACTTGGTCTTCCCACTAGGTAACCAGAATCTTAAACATAATCACCCATCATCTTAAAATATACATGTTATTGTTATTCACGTATGGCAAAACCAAAAGATCAGGAGAAAAGTGCTGTAGAAAAAAGTTTGTATACTCACAGTTCCCAAAAGGAGGGGGCATACCATGCCATGGTGGGGGGGGGCACATAGGGAGGCACCAGATTTGGTCAGAAGGCAAAGGGGTCAAGGGGAAGATGTGGGGAATAGCCTTTATTGTAGCTTCCATGGCAAGGAACTGGGAGACAGGGTAAATAGGTTTAGGATTGACAGGTTTTAAATAATATCATCAGGTTCTGGGGCATAGGATGGTGCTGGTTGTCTGTTACCTGACCGTGGGGTGATTAGAGCAGAGGATAGTGACTCTGAGTATGAGAGCCCACTAAAAGATATGGCTGAGGGCTGTGGGCGCTAAAGTGGCTGGTTTGCATGTGAAGGGTTTGCTCACAGGCAAGTTGTTTGCTATCTTTGAGGAGTTATCTCTAGGGGTACTCCCTCTGAGGTCAGCAAGGTCCCAAGATATCAAACTGTCAGAAAATATATGGCATGGCTAATATGGTTAATATGCCAACTGAGTGAGGTCAATCTGATACAGACATTAATACTCTCAGAGTATTAATTAGAGTCTTAGAAAATTATTAGAAGTCCATTAATCCAAACCTTAATAAAGATCACAAAAGAAGTAATTGAGGGGCACCTGGGTGGCTCAGTCAGTAGAGTGTCTGACTTTGGCTCAGGTCATGGTCTCACAGTTTGTGAGTTCAGGCCCCACATGGGCTCGCTGCTGTCAGCCTGTCAGTGCAGAGCCTACTTCAGATCCTCTGTTCCCCTCTATCTGCCCTTCCCCTGTTTACAGTCTCCCTCCAAAAAAAAGAAGAGATGGTAGTAGATCATTAAAGACATGGTTTAAAAAAAAAAAAAGAAGTAATTGAGAATAACTTAATGAAGACCGTTTGAAATAAGAACTGTAAACAAATTACTCTAAATTAGTTTGGATATAGTTCTTCACTACAAGCTATGAATACTATTTTCTGTGGTATTTATACTAACTTCCACTTTTACCTCACTGGGAATCTCTAGAACCCTTCGCAGCATGGCTAAGGGAAGCTTTTGGGTTTGGTCTCCTCTACTTCAGTCCTGATAGCTCCTCATCTGCTGGCCATCTCTTTTAGGATTCCTTTCAATCTGTTGGAATGACTATTTCTTTATATTTCTTATAACTGATTACAGATTTTTTCATTCTCTTGATCTGTAACCATTGGAATCTTAGATTTTAGGAAGGCATATGTTCTCCAATTGTATTTCTACACCTTTATCAATCTGCTATTAATCTTTTAAAAATTTCAAAAGTTTTTTTTATGAAAAGCCTATTGACCATTAACTACCTGAAAATTTTGCTGATAGGCAGAGTGACAGAATCCCTCTGGTTTGTGTTCTAAGCAGTTTTTATCTAATACTTGGTCATGAAATAAATAACATTTTCTTCTATTAGCTTTCAAGTTTTACCTTTCATCTTTAGGATTAATCCACTCGAAGTCTACCTTATATGATCTGCTTGCCTATGATCCACGTAGACTCACTCCACCTGTGCTGAGCTCTGCTCCTATGTGGAGGGCTTGATGTGTTTTCACAAGGTGAGGGGCTTTTGTTGGGGTGTTATGTGTTCCCCCAAATTGAACTCCATATTCAAATTCCATTTCTGCCATTTACTAAATGTCTGACATTCACAAAGTTAACTTAATCTTCATAAGCCTGTTCATTCCTTGGTAAAGTGAGTTCATAATAATACCCTATAAGGTTGTTGTGAAGATAAATGAGATAATGCATATAATGCATTTACTACAAAACCTGATAACATCATAAATGGTCAATAATGGTTGTAATTAGTATCACAGATATCCTAACATGGCTCTTCTGGAAGCTTTCTGCATTTAAGTAACTTTTGTAAATGATTGTTTTCGTTCACTGTGTTGATTTACTAGTTAACTCTCATTTGTAACTTTATTTCTAAGTGTCACCACCATGTACCAACTACGGGACCTAGAATGCAAAAGCCCTTATAGACACTCCTAAGTTTTATCTAATTGGAGGTGTTATAAATTCCTATACATCAGAATCTCTAATGGACATGGCTGCATTATAACCATGAGCCCTTCGTCTTTTAAACAACAACAAAAAAATTAAAATTGTTTTATGACAGAATTGGTATAAAAACAATATAATCAAAAAACAAATCAAACAATTTATTATTTTTACATATTCATTATTATTGTGTTCATGTTTTCTTCTGATTTTAAAAGAATTAAAATTAAAACATTTTAGTTTTAAAACATTTTCATGACCCCCTAAAGGTATTATGAACCCTAGTGTCTATTGTGTGTAAAGGATGAGTCAGCCCTGATTTAACCTTGGTCTCCAGATGACAGTGAAAGTCAAGGAGCCCCAGTGATACTGTTTCCTCAAATGCAGCTAAAGATAGTGCTATAGCTGTTTTGTTAATAGGGTTAATAAAGCTATTACTAAAATAATTTTTGTCGTGAAATATTATAGAATAACAAAATGTCATACCGCCTTGAGACCACTTACTTGAAGACCCATTGTTCATAAGTGAAAATTAAGACTCCGTGTCAGAGTGTTCAGTTTGGATCCAGAGTGGGAGCTAGCACCCAGTTCTACTGATTACCAGGCAGTATTTTTTTTCTACCACACTATCCATTACTCTCTAAGGCTTTATTTGAGCTTGGTTTTTTTTTCTTTTTTCTCAATCACATTTTTTTTAATGTTTTATTTATTTCTAGGAGAGAGAGAGAGAGAGACAGCGTGAGCAGGCGAGGGTCAGAGAGAGAGGGAGTCACAGATTGAAACAGGCTCCAGGCTCTGAGCTGGCAGTCAGCACAGAGCCCGACGCGGGGCTCGAACCCACGAACCGCGAGATCATGACCTAAGCGAAAGTCGGACGCTTAACCGACTAAGCCACCCAGGCGCCCCTATTTGCGCTTGGTTTTTAATTCAAAGTCGTGTTTCCTGGATCCTTCCCTATAAGAATTTTTGTGTTCTGGGTTTATAATACTTACAGTAGAGAGGAATACCGTTTCCTTCTGCTTGTGACTTTGTTTGGAACAGTTTGGTCAGAGCCACTTTTCACCTCCGTCTTGTCTCAAAATCCCTCCAGGGCACCTCTGCCCCAGGGAGGTGAATTGTCTAGTCACCGCAGCCTTGGGAGAGGGCTCCTTTAGATAATCACTTCTCTGTGAACTGAAGTCTCAAGGTCAGGGAGCAAAGTGGGGGAAATGGGTGCTAAGATTTGTCAGGTGCTTATTATAAGACAAGATCCTCACTGCGTGTTGTATATCTACTCTATCTTTTAATCTGGAAAGTAATTATTAATATCTTGTATCTTGAATCCTACCAATTGCTAAGTGACTCAAACAACTAGGGAAGTCTAAACATAATTGTTCTCCTCATATCCTGGCTCTCTTAGATACTGTTTATTTTGAGTCATACTTTTAGAGTGAATTCCAATACTAACTCAGTCTTTGGGGTTGTAGATTCAAGCTTCTTCATGTAATAGAATATTATACTCTCTGTCAGAATGTTCCAAGTGACCTGATAATTATGACTCCAGCTTTGCTATAACACACAGGTTAATTAATATCCTTGTGACCATGCCAAAAGTGTGACTCCAGCTTTGCTATAACACACAGGTTAATTATATCCTTGTGACCATGCCAAAAGTGTGCCTTCATTTCCCAAGGGATTGTTTATCTCTAGTTATTAAATTAAGTATCCATCTACATTTCTGAGAAATGCTCCAGCACTATTTTGAAGCCTTCCTAATCTAGCTAGATTAATCCTCTTTTGTACAAACCATCAATATTTCCATAGGATAGTTTCCATATGGATCATTCCCATGTCAACATATTAAGACAGTATTTAAGATGAAATATTTAGCCTAAATGGAGAGGTATTAAAAACAAAGACCAGCTGTTGTGTCTATGTACTTGGTAAAACAAACAAACAAACAAACAAAAAACAGCTGGAATCAATATAGCATTTGGACACATGGCTGAATATGTGCTTTGTGTGAGGAATGTGCCCTTGAGGGAAATGAACCTTTGCATTTGTGTGCAACTGAAGTGGAAAATAGGGGAGAACCTTGAAAGCCAGGGACTATCTTCAGTTATATTACTGACTGAAGAGTGAAAGCTTTAAACATTATTGATTATAAGACAGCCATGATAAAACAATAGCATTTTAATTAAATCCTGCATGCTGGCAGTGAAGGCCCAGTCCCAACTTTGTGCTAAGTTTTAGGAACCGAGTATTAATAGAACCTCTTAAG